GTACGTAAAGGCGTTATAAGGGCAGAAGAGATCATCCCTAGTGTTGAGTCTGTATTCCAGAAGCTTCCTTCAATGGAAGCGGAAAAATTACGTGTACAGTTGGTCACAGTCCTGAAGTCCCAGCAACCAGGGGTTCCAAACATTGCACCAGCTGAGCGAAGGGCCTTAAACACGTTAAAAAATGTAGACAGCATAGTAATTACAAAGGCAGATAAAGGTAAGGCCACGGTCGTCATGAATAAGAGTGACTATCTTCATAAAGTTAGACAACACATAGCTGATGGTCCCTACCGACAAATTAGTAACGGAAAGATCACGTCAATTATGAGTAAGAGTAAAGTTGAAGTTGGGAGGTATCTAAGATCTAGTCATAAGGAATCTCACGGATTGGTTCCCTGATTGCCTTAAAACCCAACCAACCTACTTACTTACTCACTTGGCCCGACGAAGCTTTTGTGTCAAAAGCGAAACGTTGCCCAGCAATAAATCCACCGATTGTTTACCAAACCCCTCTGAAACTATGACTTCCCAATCGGTCCCAAACATTTTCCATGAAACTTACTTTCCTTCTAACTACGAGACTTTCATGAGAAGATATATTAATATAGATCAGCTTACCAAATATTCTTGTCATAAGCAGATGTGAAAACCTCCACTGGAATCAAACAAATGTGATTTGGATTTGGTGGTTAACTGTTTTCTTTTTAAGGGAAGTTGTTGTACAGCAATGTTTCGAATCAATGCTTCTCCACTCTTGCATATTCACACCTACGCCAAATCGAACAGCCTTTACACCCCCTGATACGCGGGACGAACAGTTCGCATTCGTCGCCACAGATCTCAGAGATCCATTTACGTATTTTATTTCCAACTCAGGGTGCCCTAGTTTCATTGATTAACAAACGTTTTCGTGTAGATTTCGCGTAAGCGAGACAGAACATTTGGTGAATCACGCCTTCAAGACTGTTTACATATTCGCACTATCTTTCTGTCCTAAAAACTACTAGTTGGTGCCCCAGTTGACTTGTTCCGCACCACTGTGAAGTATGTGCATCCCGTAGACCTATCCCTCTCAACTTTTGAACCATAAAGTGGAAGCTTGGTTGCCTTTCAGTGGGATTGCCATACCACTCACAAGGTACTAGGCATGTCTTGTTTATTTTACCACCTGGATGTGTGTCTGAAAAATGTTAGTAGCTCAGATGGCGTAGATGGTCGTTGGCCTGTTCGCGGCTTGTCATTGGTTGTGCACAACTACTAACCCACCACTACGCTCCCCAATAACGCACTGATGATGTCTTCTCGATTGGTGATGAAACGTTTGCAATCAAATTGCCCAGCTCAGCGAACAAGCGAATGACAACGGTTTGTTAAATCGAGAATGTGAAATTACGAAGTTCGTCCAATCTGGGGTATTCTTCTGGCTGATTTCTTCTCGATGGCAGAATTCTGAACGTCACATTGCACCCTAAACTGCCCTACAATTTGGAAGTCCGTCTGCTAAATATTGGAGACTTGAACAGCTACGCGGTACGATTGTTGACATGGGGATATTAAGCATCGCCTTCGCAAAAAAACTAATGCGATGGTGTAGGTGAGCTGATCTAATATGGCGAATCGCATATTCCTTGTCGCACGCGCAGCACATTCAATGAAATACCGTTCACGAAGCAGGTCGTCCTGTACGTTAGGGATTACCTCATCAACCAAATTCTGTATCTCTGTCGTTGATTGAGGTGGTCATTTGTCTCGTAGAAAGTCACAAAGAAGCAATTAGGTACTATTTATTTTTCACCGCCCAAGTGAAAAGCCGAATTCTTGATTACTAGCAGACAGGGAAGTATGAGGTTTTGTGTGAGTGCGGTCGACGGATGCGAATTCTTGTTACTAGCAGACAGGGAAGTATGAGGTTTTGTGTGAGTGCGGTCGACGGATGGATGTATTACTTCACCTTCTAGAAAATGGCGTATTGCACCGTACGGCTGAAAGTATATATATA